CCCCCTCATTCACATTGATATGATTTTTTGTTCTGGGTATTTGATGTCTGATACCTGATCCCATCAACACCTCGTGATCACACAGGCTGGTGTGCTTCTTCCATGTGGGCTTTGCAGCTTCTCAGCTAGATGGCCGCTTGTTTAAGACCTTTAAGACCCCAGTGTGGGGGGAGGTCAGATGAGCAGGTGTTCCCTCCCCTGAGGGCGATCAGTTGCCAGACTGCACTGGGCCTGCTCCCTGCCTCTGGGGACAATGGACAGGCTCCGGTAGGCAGTTTTCACCCTACTGATAATGGTTCCTATGGAGACCCAGAGACCACCCCCTAGACCACCCCTTCTCATTGCTGTGTAACCTATAGTGCAGCCCCTCCCTGTGACAGAATGTCTCTACCTGTAATTGGTGGGCTGGTATGCTCCCAAAAGGTATATAGGCGTGGGTCAGCAATATAGAGCTCTCTGACCTCTCTCTCTGGCTCCCCTCTCTACCTCCTTTCCTGTCCTCTCTCCCTTGTTCCCTTGCCCTCTTTCCCTTCCCCCTCTCTCTACGTGGACCACCAAGCTGGGCTGAGGTGAGCAATGCTACCATGTAATGTGTCTAACTGCATTATTGTAATATCTCTCATGCTCTTGATGACTTTAATATAATACTTATATATCTCAACCGTACAATTGTGCTTACTGAACCCGTGGGTAGTAGTAGCAGTGGGTGGGGACTGGCCTCTAACCCCTCACCCCTCCAAATTTAACGTAATACTACACCCCAGATGCTATATCTTTTGATAGCCAGGCACCATCAGCTTTCTTCACCACATTTGCTTATGTACTCATTTGTCTTCAGCGATCGTGTAGGGAAGGTGAGCATCAGAATGCCAGGTTATTAGAACAAATGTTCTTGTGTTGAGGGAGTACTTGAATGGAGGTCCAATGTCCATCTGCTGCCTTAATACTTCACAAATAAATATGTATACATAGATCTATTTCCTTGTCATTATATATAAATGTAGTTACACATGTACATGCCTGTATTTAGACTTCTGTAAATATCCTTTGCCTCCTAGTTCTTTCCTTTTACTTTTCTCTTGTCCCACTATCATGTTGGGCCTTCATTCGGGTTTTGGTGATTCCTCTCGGCTACATTGCCCTTGATCAAGCTCCTCCAGGCATCCTATACCCTCCTCACCATTGATTTTAGATCACTTGCTGTTCCCTTGTCCTTGGGTTTGTTGACACCCCCCTACCTTTCCCCACCTCCTCTTCCAGTATCACCCCCCACCGGTCCCATTGTTTCTTCTCCAGATTGTTTACCCAGCCTATCTTATCTAGATAGACATCCAGAGACAATAATAAGCACAAAACAAGGCAGAGCAA